TTGTGGAACTGATTATGCGAGCTTTCGTGTTTAGAAAAGATAAAAGATTTTGATTGTAAAACTACTACCTTCGTAGTACCTGGATAACTTCGTATCGTGCTCTAGCTCTACAAGTTTGTCATCAGCGTTTCCATTAAAGGTGTCGCTGGTATTACTGGAGCCTTCAGTAATTATTTTGTGGTTGCTAATGGAGTCGATAATCTTCTCGAAGCTTTCAAAATTTACATACGATTTGGGGAAAACGATTTTGTGCATACAATGAGGAAACTCGAAGTTGGATTTAGTGAAACTTGAGGAAAACGTGCTCTAACACTGATGAAATTTTGAAAGGCTTTTAAATACCTTGAAATGTCTATAGGGAATGCCTTTTAATAGCTCTCTTTGATGGAATAACGACCAAACGCTTTTTAGACAATCCTGTTAGTTTTAAAGAAATCCTCTGTTTATTTGAATAATTTCCGGAGTTCTTTTTGAAGTAATATTACTAAAACCAAAGAAGAGCGTCATTGTAATAATTAAGTAACTCAATGATAGGATTATCCTTTAATGTAGGTATAGAAATCTCAAAGATATACTAGAATATACTATCCTATGATATTGTTAGTTACTTTATAGTGGATTAATATGCAATATTAATTTGAAATCATTTTTTCGATTTTTTATTAACCCACTAAAAACTACCTCAAATTAATGAGGGAAAAATTGTGGCTGTAGTCACACCCCCGCCGGGAATCGAACCCGGAACCTTTGGCTTTATGCACAATTGGTCTTGGTTGCTGTTGTCACCTCTCCTAGTTTAGTGGTCAGAACATTGCTAGTTTTTAGTGGTTAAATAAAAAATCGAAAATATGATTTCAAATCAATATAGAATATACTATGCTCCTGAGAAGTGCATAGGTCATCATGAGGCTTCAGGCAAAAATTATGGACCTCATCACTTTCGTAAAATATCAACGAGATTGTCACATTTATTTATTTATTACCTTCCTTGTTATTTGAGACACGACAGTTAAGTTAAAATCTAGGTATTTTACAAGCAAAGGGGAACGGTACAATAATACGAAAGGTTTAATGGCCAATTTCGTCCAGAACATTACCTTTCCTGTTTTATATCTCCCTTGAAGACAATAAAAAGAGCAATTAAATGGTAGCTTCAACAAGTTTGGCTTTTATTCGAAGAAATAAAGAATCGATTTGATAGAGGCGGGATGTAGGTATGTCTTATAGGAATAATATTTAGATGCCCAAAAGGTATTTATAGGTAGTCCTTAAATTCCTGATAGTATTATGGATCATGGAAGCACACTTGAATATAAAATGGAACGTACTTTATAATTTAAAAACGACTAAAACAGAAGTTAAATAAAAATTTCCTGGCGCCTCCACCGAAATTTGAAAAATTGAAGCAAAAACCTGGCTTTAGATAAAACAGCTTCTGCAGTAAAACAATAACGAAAACAACATTGTTCATGAGATATTTCCGACAAAATCCATCACTATAATATTAATATTCTTTCCTTTTTTAAACTATAACTACAACGGAAAGATTACTTTATTTTTTCAATATAGGTATGCATTGAAGGTGTATGTTTGGAGCGCGGCGTTGTACGGGTGCGAAACTTGGACAGTGTACGCGGCGGAAAAGAAAAGGTTAGAAGCTTTCGAAATGTAGTGCTGTAGGCGAATGATGAGGATAACGTGGATAGAGAAGGTTGGAAATGAAGAGGTATCAGAAAGAATAGGATAACAGAGGACTCTAAGGAAGTCAATAAGAAATAAGTAAGATAGGTTGGTAGGACACCTTCTCAGGCATGAAGGTCTAGTCAGAGACATATTAGAGGCAGAAACAGGAGTTAGAAGGGGTAGAAATAGACCTAGATTAGATTACTGTTCGCAAATAGTTAAGGATCTGGGTTGTTCTAGTTTTAGGGAAATGCGAAGTTTAGCTCAGGATAGGAAAGAGTGGAGGTATGTGTCCAACCAGTCTTAGGACTGACGACCTTATGATAATGATGATGATAGGTATGCATAATTTCCGTCATACAGTTTCGCTTTTTATAAAATACAATACATACTATGTACTCTGTTTACGACGTATGTAAATTCATTTTAATAAACCATCTGAATTTGATGGGTACAGAAATTCTGAGACTTCAGCAAATTAAATTTCCCGAACTAAAAGTGAAGAGTAGTGATCTGTATGTACACGTATGAATGCATGTCTGTATATGTATGTGTATGTGTATTCAGACTTCATTAGTAGAGTCTTCGAAAGTAATCTAAGGGATCATAACCACCTCGGAATAATAAATGATGCCAGAGCGTTACCCCGCCTGGTTGGGGCGGAAGCAGTGGAAGGAAGTCAATTCTGTCCGCACTTCCGACCCTAAGCGCATTTCTACTCGGGGCCTAATGAGTTGTACTGTTCATTGTAAGCTTTTTCGTGTTTTTATAATATTTGAAGCGTAAAACCTAATGCTTACGTCATTCATTGAAAGCTTATTAATTAGCTTTACAGCAAAAATATACTTTTGTAAACCAAATGTAGCTCATCCAATGATACTGCTTCGTAGTTAGTAAACCAGAAAATGTAAAAATGTTCATAATAATTCACATAATAAATTGTCTGTTGAAAAACTTTTAAACGTTCAATCTCTACTCATAAAAAAGCGAGACATTTACTTTGAAGGCTTCCTAAAAGTTGTTTTTTAAGTCTTTTGAATAAAGAAAGCAATTACGTAATTTAATTAACATTTACATATTTTTTATGAAAGCTTTTAAAATAATGGAAGTTAAATTGTTCAACACTTTTTTAACGTTGAATAGAATAATTTAATAATTCCATTTGAATTTTGACAATAGGGAAAGCTTTCAGTTTCTACAAAATTTTGCTAACCAGAAAGTACAACGAGATCATTTAGAAAGACAATAGTTTCGGGGCGAAATTTGTTTCAGCTCGTTTTGTGAACTTCGTTTGAAGGTAATTATCATTTAAATTATGTAATAGCCTTTAGAATCAGAAGTAGCTCTTTTCTTAGTCCTCGTTTAATAAAGAATAAAGACTAAAAGGAGAAAAGCAGCCGGGAAAAGTCCTATGAAGTTAACTTTTAAATGTTTAAGTTAAACAGAATTCGCTGCTTCAAACAGCACACCAGAACCTATTACTCTTCAAAATTAGTCTCTTTTATTTTCTGTCTATTTAAATTCATTTTTCTTTCCTTAATCACTTTCATTTATTCTTCAAATTAGTTTTATGAACAAATATTTAAGTGAACAAACGAACGAGACCAGGATTAAAACTAAGACCTAATGCGCAAGACCAAGATTAAAATTAAGACCAAGACTAAATACGCAAGACTAAACGAAACATAATTACTTCCGGTAAATTTATGAGTTAATATATTCCTTTTCAGGAATAAAACATTTTTAGTAGTTGAAATTTTCAGTTTGCTTTACCAGATTTTAACACTAAATATATAAAAAGGAAACTTTACCACAAAAGGGATCTACAAGATGTCCTAGGAGTATGTGTTCTTTATTCCTATGTTTGCCCGAGATAAAAATGTTCAATCTCTCAGAGTCTCTGAAAGCAAGACTCGAGTCTCCATCTCTCATCGAGTCTCTCTGGTGTCGCTGAGAGAGACTGTCGAGAGACTGTTAAAAAACGAGAGACTCAAGTCGCTCATAGAGAGATCCTCATTTCGTATCCAGTCCCTGAACGAGAGACTCAAATCTCTGAACGAGAGACTCGAATCTCTGAACGAGAGACTCGAATCTCTGAACGAGACTCGAATCTCTGAACGAGAGACTCGAATCTCTGAACGAGAGACTCGAATCTCTCAATAAGTGGTTAAAATTTAAAGTTCAGCATATTTCAGAGATCCCAGTCTTTCTACGAGAGTCTCGAGTCTCTCAATTTTTCAGTTTTATTCATTCAGTCTCTCTGTGAGACACTCGAATCTCTGAATTAACGATTTTATCATTCGAGTCTCTCGTACAGAGACTGTGAGAGATCCATAAAGACACCTAGGTAATAACTGAAAGACTCTGAGAGACTGGGAAGAGACTGAAACTGAAAGGAATATATTTATAGGTATAACACTTGGGCCATTTCAATTTTTATATTTTATATAAGTTACTTATATCATAATAATGACCGAGTTTTTGTATGTATAAGCACCAAAAAAAAATTTCAGTCTTCTTGAATTGTAGCGACAAGGTATAAAATTCTCTGAAACTCGACACGTGTTGTATTATTTGTAATAGGCGCTTTTAGCATGGGACGTTACAAAAAAAATTATTCTTTTGATATCGTTTTTCAATTTCTAAAATATCAGGCGGAGGCTTTTAAGTTTTAGTTTTTGTTAAGTTATTGTGTATAGGATTGGGAAGAAAAATTAGATGAACTAGAAACACTTTTCGTCTTTTAAGCCCTATAACTAATCAAGAAAAGGTTGTGATCTCTTTCGTCTGTTTCATTTCCGTTGAATCCATTCATTTGGTCGACATTCGATTGTTATTCGCCGTAAAAGTCAGTGACGCTTGATAATGGAGGTGAAAACTTTACTCTGTTATTGCATCTCGATTCCGAAATCCTTTGCATAGCACAAGTGCCTTTCATTTTCCGCATCATTGCCCTGAGAATAGTCCAGATGCTCGACTCAAAAGCATTTGCATGCATCTCATTTTATTGTTGATTTTGTTTCAATCCCTCGGGTAATGTTAACTTCATCGCATCCCCTTTTGATAGTTAACACCCACTTGTGAGGGAAATTTGCCTGTTTGCTTTGCCGAATAGTCACAGTCGAAAGCTCACCTTCAAATCGAGTAGTTATTTTCACTTGTGCTACGGCATAGAATGATCATTTGTCATAAAAATCTAAATAAATAAAGAATCTGTGTGCCGTTGTCATGAAACTGGACCCTTAATGTTTTATCCATCTATATTGAAAGGAATACAGGGTTGTTCATATCATTAATAGTGTTTCTTTTTGTTTCAGATTCAATGCAATCGCTGTGCAAAAATCATTTCCTTCAGCAAGTTTATAGAAAGATAGATGGCGCTTTGTTGTGGTCACAGAACGAAAGAAATCTGGACTGCGTTATAACGTTTCAAACTCATTCGATTTTGCAACGTTTTATGTTGCGATTTGATTTTCTACAATTAGATTGCAACGATCATTTGTACATCTACGATGGAGCTCATCCCGTAGGAACGTATAAGGTAAGCAAAATTCTTTATGGTTGTTCGATAAATGCCCTACTCATCTAAATCCACAAAAATTATATTTTATCAATGAACAGACGGAAAATCCCGAGATAAAAATGTTCAGTCTTTAAGAGTCTCTGAAAGTGAGACTCGAGTCTCCGTCTCTCATATAGTTCAACATATTTCAGAGATCCCGGTCTTTCAATGAGAGACTTGAGTCTCTCAATTTTTCAGTTTTATTCATTCAGTCTGTCTGTGAGAGACTCGAATTTCTGAGTTAACAATTTTATCGTTCTAGTCTCTCAAGACTCAAGAGAGACTGAAAATTTTTGTCTAGGGAATACATAAAAATTAAACAAGAATATTAGTATATAAACGAAGATGACAGTAGAGTTACAGTTAATATGTAAACGTATATAGTAGAGATGGAAAACGTTTTCTTATGTGAGCTACTGTATTAGGGGATGGTTGAGGGATGTTCTACTTTCTCGTAAATATATCGTATTGTTAGTGTAATTTTTTAAGGTAGCAAAATAGCGGTGGTTTCTCGTTTTCCCGTTTTACATCTTGTAACCCCTCACGGTGTTGACCTTTATTTGACAGGATAAGTAAAGTAGGGCACGGGAGGCTGTAGCGTGATTAAAGTAGCTGTCAGCCTTGGTACGTGAAAGGGAAGAAAAAGAGAAATAGCAACCCCGATAACGCGTGAAACATAATAAAATATTCAGTTCACATCGTGACCCTATTATTTGTACATATGCTTGAATTGCCTTTCTTATCTCCATGTCGATAGTGTGGATTTTATATTTACTGCCTCGTATGTAAAATACACTGCCTCGATCCCTACATGAGACGCGAGACTTGTTTTAATATGAGATGTTTTAATAAATAATGCAAGATTTGTCATAAAAAAATCGTTGTAGATCCCGTCGTTCCATTTTTATTGCGACTAATAAATTTCACTACTAAATATAAGGCAGTATTGCCCTAGTTAGACCGAAGCTGGGGCTTCATCTCTAAATTAGAAACAATACCTTGACCACACCAAAGAGAAAAGAAAAAATTTAGAAAATGATGCAAAAATGGGACCATGTCCTTTATTGTTGTATCTACTGAAATGTTTTGCAACGAAAAAGATTGGGATTAATGCCCAATTGTACATCTACTACCACGGAGAGAAAAATTTGGTTGGACACGCACCTCCACTTTTTCCTATCCTGAGCTAATCTTCACATTTCCCTTAAACTAGAACAACCTACATCCTTAACTATTTAATTTACATCTATTTCTATTCCTCTTAACTCGTGATTTTTGTCTCTTATATGTCTGAGACTAGACCTTCATGCCTGGGAAAGTGTTCTACCAACCCATCTCGCCTATTTCTTATTGACTTCCATACAGTTCTCAGTTCTCCTATTCCTTCACATTTCGAACACTTCTAACTTTTTCTTTTCCGTAGCGCCCACCATCCTTTTCGAATTTTTAAATTAACCGTTCGCGAGCATAGAAGTGACTTCTTTTTTATTGAAGGCGACTCTACCCTGCGCTATCGTCTGCTTTATATCCCTCTTGCTCCTTCCGTCCTGACTTATCTGACTTGCTGGATACCTAAAATCAGTTACTTGTTCTAATTTTTCGTGTCCTATCTTTATATTCGCTCTTTTCCTACTTTTTCTTCCCTTGCATACCAGTATTTTTGTTTTGTTTTGTCAATACCGCTTCCATTTTATTAACATCTATCTCTAACTCCTTCTTGCTGGATGCTAATACTGCTAGGACAGTAAAAATTCCTTTGCTTTCTAATAATATTTATGAGATTCTCTTATCAAAATTATTGGACTAATATTGAATTTTGTCAATTCTTGTCCTTGCATCCACTTTATAATGACGAGTATGGAATTTTTTTAAGGTTTTTTTCTCCGTAACGATTGGTGATCATTTCTTATCAAGTATTTTATTTTAATCTGTTATACAAGTCTTTTTTTTAGTTTATCTCTTAGACTGGAAAACTAGTGGTTAATAATACATAATTTGTACACATCTTTATTTGTTGTAAGAAGCTTTGAACAAATAGGAACACGAGATCCTGCTTCTCCTAGCGTATAGCCATATTACTGGCTATATTAAGCCAGCTAAGCGATGATCTTTAATTCAGTTCTCATTGAAATTCACCAAACGTAAAATATATATGTGTTTTGAATATGAGGGGCAATTACCCCTATTCAGTGTGTAGTTGTATCGTGCCATCGATTTGCTAGCAACGAAGTTTTAATGACCGTATATTGAGGAATATGTGGGAAAGCTACTCGAGTAAATCATCGACTGGAAAACAAGTAATCGGGGATTACTCTGTAACATGGGTATAGAGAGTTTAGTAAATATTGAATAAACGCAAACAAGTATCTATTCTTGTACACTATGGATTCGATAGTAATAAACAAAGAAACTTTTCTTAAAAAAGGATTATGATTGTACAAAGTACAAATAGAACAAGCAAAAAGGTACTAATTTTGACTTTACATAATTCGATACTCAAACGGAATGAAATATTTGATGTGATGATGACAAACCATCATAATAAAAGGAGGGAAATACTAGTCGAGAATTAGTCTAAAATAATTACATAATTAGTTTTATTTTTCTGTTTTGTTCATCAGGATTTGGTAATATTTTTGTTAAATTTGTCTTGATTTCTTTCACTTCTGTGGATCGATGTTATTGTTTTGTGTATTTTATTAATTAATTAACTGTATGTCTAATTACTTAATCAAATGCAGCTTTAAATTGTGGTGGAGGCGCCGGACCAACTTTATTTTCTTAGGGGTCGCAATTTTAAAGTAGGAAATAATACCTCTTCGACTTAAATCGTTTCTATAATTATTATTTGTATGTTCCATTAAAACACTATTAGAAATTATCTATTCATTAAAATTTATTAGGTACACACATAAAATTTGCATTCTAGACTAAGTAATTAAAACAAAACGAAATGCATACATATTAGATAATATTAAATAGTCATTGTAGTGGTAGCTATTCAATTTAAATGTCAGGATTCATCTGTTGAAGTGGTTGCGATGTTTTTTCGCTCTGGTAGGAGAAGAACTAAAAATTCACAACACTTGAGTGGGATGGGGCTGTTTATAACGAGATCGTTTGTAGGCTAAACTTTTAAGTCTGGATTTAACAACAGTACGGCGAACAATTGTACCAATTTGACCAGTTCATTATCCGGGGAATTATTCAATAATTAGAACAAAATCTACTTAGCTGATTCATTTAAATCTGCCTTAAACAATTACGTATGCAAATTGTAAATACAGTGTAAACTTTTTATAACGTCACTCGATCTAACGACAAACTCTTTAAACCGTCGAAATGGCTTGACTTGGTTGGTTTACGTTGTTTTCTACACAATATTACACTCTATATAGCGTTACGCTCACTCTATTTAACGACAACAATGCGGCATTATAAATCATTGAGCAGTACTTTCTAAGTTGCCGAAATAGATAAGAACTGCAGCTGTGTACGTTGTTGAAGAAGACGATCCTGTCCCTCCACCAAGCATCAAACAAGCACTTGATGCAGCGAAACTATTAAAACAATACTTTTTATATAATCAAATCGATCCAGCAGTATCTCAAGATGTGAGTAAGATACGTAACAAAATACAATTAAAATATTGGAGCAGCAAAAAACATCAGACGAAGATAACAGGCTATACGCAATGTATGAATAATAATGTTCGTGTGCAAAATGTGTACTATATTGGCAAATGCATATTAATATTGAATAGTAAAATAATATCTTTTATTTCTCTCTATTTAACGACCACTCTTTATAACGCCGAAAAATTTTCAGTCCCTAAAGTGTCGTTATATAGAGTTTACACTGTATATGAATTGCTTATGGAGTTCGTTAGCCATAAAGTGATCGAATTTCATCAGTCCCTTTGCTGCATGTCTATTAATTAATAACGTCTTCATTAATGGGTGACCACTATGTACTCGTAGTGTTTCTCTCCTCGAAAAGTCAATTGGGAATCATAGATAATAATATCTAAACTTGATGTGATCGAACAATCTTGTTTAATTAAAGAGGTTAATTTGGATCTTAATAGTATCGTGTCTATTAGATATCTAGTAGATAAGTAGTACTTATGTACATAAACAGGGTCCACCATCACCGCCCCCAGCCCCCTGACATGGCCGTATTTGTTAGCACGCAAAACTAACGGAATTACAGCGAATCATAAATTATTCGCAAAACCCGTCGAATTTGCATTACAAGGGATTCCCAGGTCGAGAGAGTCTTTGTGCGCTCCCTTAGGTATAAGTGGATTACTCCATTTCCTCCAACTTTCACGACACTAAGTGGAGACTGCCATGGCTCCCGGCCTCGTTCCTGTAATTTCACAGACTAACCCTACCACCAACAATCGCCGACTGCATGACAACGGTGGCAAATTGCAAAAATTACTTTAGAAAACATAAAAATGGTTTTGATCTAATAATCTCTTCAGAACTTTACTAATTACAGTCTTCTTCCGGGTTTAGAACTTTAAGTAGTAGACTAACACTAAGCTATCTAAGAGTTACAATCCATTCGCTAAAGTTATGCGTACCCTATACAAGAAGGGGAACCCATTTCCTTCTGTAGGAGTGAAATCTCGTTTAATATTTTTATTTTAACTAGCGACCCGCCCATCAGCTTCGCACGGGTGCAATGCTGATACTAAATATATTTTTGTTTTGTTTAGATTATTATCGAGAAGGGGAAATCTTCAAAAGATACCCCCTGAACATACTAAATATACTACAGAATGTCTTTATATACAACATTCACACTTTTTTGTCATTAGACAATACGGTACCGCCGCAACTGCTATGCCCCTGCATATTAAATCTGTAATATCTTCGAAAATATTCATTTAAATTACATGCTGTAAAGGGCCATATTGATCTATATTAAAGGCACAATGTATTTAAAAGTACTTAATTGGATAAGAATTAATGCTGTATTGCTTAAAATCGGTTCGTAAATAAGTCATTATTTCCCATAAGAAGTAAAGGATTAGAAATGGTTATTGTGGGTTATCCCTCAGAGATAGACATATACCATCGCGGACTTTTTTGTAGACCCTTTTAAGATGTACAATATTGTAGTACATTATTTTGGTCTATCTCGTAGGGTTCAGCCAGCGTTTGCAATGTAAGCGCAAAAAATGTGTTTATTAAGACATCACATTAGAAACCTCTAAAATTATCAGTGTTTCCCTACTATATTATGCATGTATTATACATATAAACCTTCCTCTTGAATCACTCTATCACACGCATCAAAATCCGTTGCGTAGTTTTAATGATTTAAGCATACATAGGGACAGACAGCGGGAAAGCGACTTTGTTTTATACTATTTAGTGATGACACCCTGTATTTCTTCTTCGTAAAAATCGAATACGTGGTAAAACAATTATTGAAATTTAGTCTTGTTTTAAAAAATAAAATGACAACTTTAATCAAAAGATTCTAGATAGAGTAGGCACATTCTCAATTTTTTATTTATCACATATTTATTATAAGTTTAATTTATTGTATTAGGTAGCTACCTGAATATAGACGTTACATGTACTATATTCAAGACAGGATTGCCGTAGTGTGCTATGGCAATATGTATTTCTACTGAACTCATTTAATTAAGGGAAACGGTAGCGGAAACACGTCGTAGCGCAGGAGAGTGGGTATCAGCGTCCTCGCCAGAACGGAATGTGTCAAACGGAGTGTTAACAGTTAGAAATTTAGGACCGTATATGACAGAATCCGTATGCGAATATTCCGCTCCTGTTCAAACTGCGACCTTCGATTGCAATTTACATTTGTCACGCGAACTCCATTAATTTCCTCGCACGTTCCATAACATCGTCACTTGGTTACTGTCATAATTAACGGCTTTATTGATTAAACAAAATTTAAACATCAAAAAAGGAAAAACTAAAATTCCTTTTATCAATTGTTTTTTTTTAGACAATAAGGGATTAACTTAATTGCACTAAAGATAGATTTCGTCCAATCTAGATTAGTAGCTATAGTAATCCTCTATTAAGTCGCTTTATCTTTAGTATGTTTTCAAAGCAAAATAAAACGATTTTTACAATTTGTTGTTTCTCAATTGTTACAGTCTGACCTATCCTGCAGAAACACCAAGCATACACTGGGTGCAATGTTCACCAGGACAAACTACGTCACCCTCAAGTATGTTACCGATTCTTGGGGTACAGACTCTAATGGATTCAAGCTTGTGATCACGGCTGTTAAAGATCCGAGTAAGTGTTAAAGGTTTTTATTATTTTTTACACTAGAGGACGTATGCCTTACTTAATGACTACATGACTAGTCAAAACATCCCTGTACTGTTAGTCATGTGAATTACATATGAATTTTCCACACAACTTCATTAAAGACAGTACAATGTAGGGATAGATATACAGGGACAAAAGATTAGTATGCTCAGATTTGCAGATGATATAGCAATATTAGTATCTAGCAAGGAGGAGTTAGGGATAGCTTTAAATAAAATGGAAGCGGTATTGACAAAACAGTAATGTATGAAAATAAATAAAAGTAAAACAAAAATACTGGTATTCAAGGGAAGAAAAAGTAGAGAAAGGAATATAAAGATAGGAGATGCAAAAATTAGAAGAAGTGACTGATTTTAGGTATCAGATATGTCAGGACGGAAGGAGAAGTAGGGATATAAAGCAGAGGAGAGCGCAGGGTCGAATCGCCTTCAATAAAAAGAAGTCATTTCTATGCTTGCGAACGATTAATTAAGAAATTCTAAAAAGATTGTTAAAGCACGGCGCTGTATGGGTGCGAAACATCGAAAAAGAAAATGTTAGAAGCGTTTGAAATGTGGTGTTACCGGCGACTGATAAAGATACCGTGGATAGAGAGGTACTAGAAAGAATAGGAGAACAGAGGACTCTATGGAAGTCAATAAAAAATAGGCGAGATAGGTTGGTAGGACACCTTCTCAAGCTTGAAGGTCTAGTCAGACATATTAAAGGCAAAAACAGGAGTTAAGAGGATTAGAGGTAGATCAAGATTAGATTACTGTTCACGAATAGTTAAGGATGTAAGTTGTTCTAGTTTTAGGGAAATGTGAAGATTAGCTCACGATAAAAAAGAGTGGAGGTGCGTGTCTAACCAGCCTTAGGACTAACGACCTTATGATGATAATAAAATTAGATTCATGTACTTTTCATTTTGATATCAAATGATTCGACACTCGCGAAATGTCAAACATTAATGAATACTACAATTAGTGCGATCGGACGACGCGTCGCCGACAAAAACCGTCGTCCCGTATTCTGACTATTATTGTGTTATATGTATAATAAATTTAACATATTTTTATTTTGTTGCAGAGCACGCATGCACGGAATTTCGTTGTACTTTGCGGGAATTCTGCATTTCCAACGATTTAATCTGCGACGAAATCAATCATTGCGCTGATGGCTCTGACGAATCTTCGAAGACCCTGTGTCAAAGTAAGTTCCACAAAAAATTATTCGACACTATCCTTATTACTGATTCGATTCCGGAAACAGGTCGGTAATATTCAGTTTCTCTTGTTGCAGACAACGAGTCGAATACCATTCTTGGTATGGAGATGACATGGTTTGTAGTGATGATAGTCAGTCTCATCCTAATTGTATTCGTTATCATAGCGGTGTCCGTCTGCATTTGTAGAAAAAGTTGGATACCCCGACCCAGCAATAGTATACAGCAAAACGCATCGTATTCATGTAAGTATACGATTTAGTATTTACATATGTTACAGGAAATGTATGAAATCTAGGAATTGTATACAATTCCTTGGAAATATATACTGATCCGAGGCTATTAAGGAAATGTATAAATTTTTTTTCAAAGATTTTTTAATACACACATATCCTGGGAAATGTATAGATTTCCTAGGAATTGTGTGAAATTCCGACATTGTATTAGGAAATGTATAAAAGTAATGCTTTCTGTGAATAAAATACTCCGCTGGGCTGGTGCATTAAATAAACTCTAATCTATCATAAATCTACCTAATCAAACAATGACGTCACCTATGCATTTTGGAATGAATTTCATACAATTCCTAAGAAATGTGTACATTTCCCAGGATAAGTGTGTACGTATTAGAAAATCATTGAAACAATATTTTATGCATTTCCTAAATAGTCTCGGAATTGTATACATTTCCTAGGAATTGTATAAAATTCCTAGATTTCAAAAAATAGACAAAAAGGAAAGTCCTACCTGTGTAGCCCTAACACAGTCATGATTTATAAGCCAATCACACTATTTTTGAAAGTGATTCGTGACAACATTTCGTAAATTTATCGGATTATTTCTCAATTGTTCCAGTGCAACCGGTGTACGGTTCGAACGGGGCAATGATGAAGCAACAGCCACCCCCGTACAATCAGCAGCCTGGTTGGAAAACGACGTTGCTAGTCCAGCAACCCGATCAGGGAAACTGGCGCCACCCTGCGGGCCCACTAGGGTTCCGCTTCAGCATGCCGGCCCGGGTCCGCCTCTACTGCCAGGCAAAATAATAAGGAACGCCACAACAGGGGCGTCCGTCAACGGGGCTGATACTACCAGTGTCGCCGACCTCGTCACAAAGAACCAAGTCCAACAACAGAAACAGCAAAAGGATGAATGGTTCGTCTAGCAGTAGGTAAGTAATGTCAGAAGATTATTTTACCAGCTTAAAGGTTGCTAATAGTTTATTCAGTTGATTTTAAATTTTGATGCCGAAAAAGCTGTGGAGGGGGAGAGAGAGGGAGTTTTGCCCTTGTAGGGTCGTTCAATAGCTTTGAAGAATTGATTTTAAGTTTAGAAGATTTTGAAAAATTAATAGAAAGTTTTCAAAAAAGGAACAACTTCTAAGACAAGAGGTCAAAAATACGGAAAGATATTAAACAATCCGTTTCGTAAAATTTAGTTTTCTTTTAATTAATCAAATTAAGAAAATTGTCCTGAGTACGAGACTGTATGACAACATTCAGGATAATTAACCTTGTTTAGCTCTTTTAGTTTGAAGGACAGTTCAGATTTTTAATGTGAAACCAGGTTAGAAATTCTCTTGTCTTTGTCTTTATGTGAGCCTGGTTGAAATAAACATCACTTAATTGTGTGGATTTGCAAAAAAAGGATACAAAGGACAGCGATTCATTTAAATTTTTAAGACGGTATAGATGGGTTCCAAGATTCTTCCTGGTATACAGTTGTGATCCCTGGAAATTTGCTTTTCCAGACATTTTACCATTATTTACCAAGCAGACTTTTCAGTAGTGACTTTAGACATTGTTAAGGATGAATCGTGAGTGATGCAATACAAAGACGATGTTCGAAAATATAAAACAGTCAAGGAAAAAGCTTAGGATTAATTTCCCAAAAACCTTTTTAACTTTTGAGGTACATGATTTGCAAAGCATCCTCTTTTAATTCCTCTGAGATACCTACATAAGATTAATAATGAAACTATTACCCATTTTGACAAAACATAATCTGTAATATTGTAAAACTAGCCACACCAATTAGTTTTATGTACTCTGGTGGATACTTTTCGATTCTAATCTGTGAGTTCAATCTTTCAACGTAAAGTTCCCCTGGTTCGGAACTATGCGACATACTCGCTCCGGAAACTTACGAAAACTACTTACCTCATGCAGAATCGTCGGAAAGAAAGTTGAGTAACAGTAATGGATACGACGGGGTCTATTAATTAAAAACTTACTTGCGGATACCCAGTTTCCTCGATTCTTGAAAAGCAATCCCAAAACTTCTCATTCAGGCCGTTCTTTGCAACTTTCCCGGAGCAAATTTAATTATATAAATGACTCCTTAATTAATTACATGTGGCTGCATCCTTTGAGGAGCGTAATAGTTGCTCAAAATTTTGACGATGCGAACCGCCCTCACCCTGCATGACCATTATTCAAATCCGTCTAACAAAAGAACCAGCATAATGACGTTGATCCAAAGTTCATGATTATTTTTTGCTAATTATATAAATTAATTAGATTCCCACATTTGCAGGGGAGCGGAGGGTATTGTTTTATACCTAAACTTCTGCTCGATGTTAAGCGTTAGATAATTAAAAATTAATTGGTTCCTGCTTTTCAGCTATTAATTTATAATTTTTAATGTAAAAAAGGTATGACATAGTCCAAATGGGACGGCTAGTGTTTAGGTGCTGCAAGAATCCAAAAAATGGGATATATTAACAATTCTATTTGAGTATCTGGTCGAATAGTAAAGATAACTCAGGAAATCAAGGACTAACTTCTCATACAATATGATCTACTTCAGTAGCGCACAAGTCTGCATATTTAAACGGTCATGAGTCTTCTGCCTTGTCCTAGATCCAAAAATCATCAGCCCTCCCTTGAGAAAATAGAAGGTACATACCTACAAGGATTTGGAAATTAAATATTATCTCTTTAGGATTGAACAATTTTAATATTAACTTTTTAGGCGTGAATTAGTTACAATTATGACAGTTGCAGTGAGAAGTGGATCTCATTACATTTAAATTGCAAAGCTGGTTATCTCCAGTTTATTTATGTTTAACGTGTTGATTCTGTGCGGATTACTTACCAGTGCCCCACGGGTGGTCAATCAGCGCTCGGCAGCCGAAACCACCGCTACTACTTTCTCTCCCCTAACGTCAAACGATCAGACACACAGGAAGTTTTCCTACTTGGGGCATCCGAGATTCCAGCAGTACCAATCTTCATTACTAGTCCGATGTTTTTAACCATTGACACTTATATCGACCGGGTTTCAGCTCCCCTTGATGTGTAACGGTCATCTTCGCGAATGCCTGCCATACATCTCCACTAAGGTTCCGGCCTACCCCCACATTTGGTGGGATCGATTGCGGCTGACCTTAGCTTCAGTTTATTCACAGTGTCAATTCTTAGTTTCACAGTTTTGTCCTATTCAATTTCCTCCAACCATTTCATGAATTCAAAACAATTTGTTATGACTGTGCGAGCATCGAAGCACTGGGTATTTTGGGAAAAGTATGCTCCCTGTTGCTCCCTCTAGCTATACTCTTAAGTGACCAAAATTCAAAATCATTTGAACTTGACAATATGTTATTTCCTAACTTTTAGCAACCCTCGAGTGTGGCAACAAATTTGTTAGGTAAAATGGTGAAAGGATAACGTTGCAGGAATTTGTTGTTTTTTTTACAGGGGTAACCGGGCCACAGCCTGCAGGGTGAGCCGGGTGTGGAACCCAGCGCCCGGTCAGCAACACACTTCCAGGTTCCCATAATAGGTCACGTGTAAAAGCGTGATTTTCTGCGATGTGTGATTTGCCGTAATTAATGGACTCATAATTAGGTAATCATTTTTAATTGTTTTGTACAGGTCATCTATTTTTAATGGTATACATATATACGAACACATGTATGGTATTGTGCAATGACGCGGAAAATCCCTAACAGTTACATAGGAGTACGCAGCATTTTCCATTTTATAGAATTGACATTGCATTTTTTTATTCTTGCGATAATCCACAGGGAGGTTTATCTCATAAAAGTAACTGCAAACATTTCAAAAGTGTTTTACCTTTACAGTTAATCCAACCTAACCTTTTTGATATTTTACACGTTTCCTTCAGCGTTAATTACAAGAACTAAGTAAATTCAAATTTTAATTGAATGTAGAATTGTCAAAATCGCACTTTTTTCATGTTTCTGCAGAAGTTATCTTTTTATTCAGATGTCTAGCACTTATTGAATGTACGCATCATAAAGCAAAAGTGCTTTTTTGTGTTATCTGCTACTATTTTTTTTTGTATATATACCTGTAGGGAATAAATACCGAAATTACTGATAATATGCATTAACTACAATTATGCATAATAATATTTCAACCATTTTCATTGGCCAACAACATGGACGCTTTCCTAAAAGTAATTAATTATTCAGTTGAACTTTTTCGGTCTTTTTTTGTAAATAGTAAAATGTAATAAAGTTTTAGCTATGCTTAGGTGGAAAATAGAGAAGCGAAGTTAGACAAAAAAAAATTGTAATACGCTAGTATGACTTTTCGATGTTTAACCTAAGAAAACAATAGTTTTATCGTCCTAACAAATTGTAACTGATGCATTATCTAGAGTATACACCAAGTGTTCATTTTTACGCGACCCTTTGATAACATTTTTATAAGTAAAGTAATTAACGCACACAGTATCGACATTTATGAGGTAACAATAACTACGCATAAAAATTAATTATTTAATTTTGCTATTGTATATGCAAATGTATTATCCGTAAAGTACTTACCATGGAATGGCTAATTTAATATTGGATAATTTAAAGCTCTGGGATAACCAAAATTATGTTCCTATCGGTTATCAGTCGGGACAGTTGTCGTTTCTTTTTAAGGATAGATCCATTCAAAATTACCAAGTATGTAAATTAAATCACAATTTTCATTCAAAAAAAAAAAAATAAATAAAATTATATTACGAAAAATGGTGTCATTATCCTTTTTTGGACTATCTAATCAGAATTGGGTAAAGGTTTAGTGTTTTGTGCTTGAAAATGTGCTTTCTGTCCTTTAAGGGCTTAGATGCACTTTTGTGAATAAGTACTTAGGACTTGGTAAACAAATTACTTTATAAAAATGCTTTTGTAATTTGTACTTCAAAGGACTTAAAGCTCTTTACTTAAGCCTTTGAGTCTAACCATTTTTCGAGGTAATTAACTATCTTAAGTCCTTGTATTTTAAAATGTAGTTAGGACTTCAAGGACTAAAGCACATTATAAGAGCTTTAGCGTAAGTCTTGAAGATCTTTTGATAAGGATTTTGCCCAGTTTTACTTCTAATTATTAAAAATATGTTCACATTTGGTGTGTATTTTAATAATAATTAATTACTTTAAGAAAATCATTTAAAAAAAAAGTTTTTTGTCTGGCTTTAAATTGATCCTGTAAATTAATCATTTCACAGGTCCTAGTAACGAGATCCTTGTAAAACAAGTCTTATAGAAAAGAACAATAACAATATATAGGATTCATACTGTGAATGTCCTTTTATACAAGATTTTCCTAGACTATTAAGGTGTGCTGTCGCTAGTAAATCATGTTAGATAGGTACTAAATACAATTTAAGAAATAACAAAGAATTTCGTGTAAAATCTAAAATTTATTACCTATCACTAAATAGTTTTGTATAAACTAGACGGAAATAGTATTTACTAGTAATCGTATTAGATCGAATTAGTCCGGTATTTACAGTATAACTGAACGTTATTCTAATTTTAAACTTCATACGGTAGACTTAACTGTCACAACTTTCCTTGATGAGGATTCATCCAAACGTCTAAATTTTTACGGTCAGACTTCCCCAAATCCGTTAGTTTCAAGTATTAATTGTACTACAAGTTTCTTCGATTGTGCTATCCAAAACATTCTAAAAGTTTGAAAACGTTATCGGCATCTAAATTTTTTTATTTGGAAACTCAAATTAATTTACTAATGTTGCAATTTCTTGAAACTGATCAAAATTATTTAAAGGGTTTATACTGTAACTAGGCATACAAGAAAATATCTGCTAATCATGATTTCTGACATATAAAAATAATAAATACATTTTGCTACAACAGCAGCCTAAGTGTGATTAAACATAATATACATAAAAAAACTTATACATACTTATATATAAATCTACAATTAG